AAAAGGAAGTAGTATAGGAATTCCAGAAGATCTGAACTAAGAAGGCCACTGTATTTCAGATCTCTTTGGATTTATTTAGTGATATTAAAAAATGCAAACATAACTATTGTATGAAAAGGATTATTTCATGATTTAATGATATACATTAAATGGAAAAAACATTCAGAAAAATAAGAGAAAATTATATATAATTATTTATCAATTATTAATTATAAATAAACCAAAAATAATTAGTTATTGTAGCAAAATAAATTGCTAATGTGTTCATTTAATTAAATATGCTTTAAATACATAACCTTTTCAAAATATGCAGGATGATATTACTTATACCCACATTTAGCTACACAGCTAAATGAAGACTTCAAACTATTCTAACATTGCTAGCCATAATATATCAAATATGAAAGCTGTTTAAATCATGTACGATGACAAATGAGCTTTTTACAGGACATGAGTTTCTGTTACTGTGTTATTAATTTCACTGCTACTGTGATGGGTTCAACACCTCACAGACAGGTCCAGTGCCCTTTGCTGATCCAGCAGTTCAGAGCTGACAGCAGTAGATCTTTGAGAGATGTTCTACCTGAAGCCCAGGGTCAAAAAAAGACAAATGGGTGGCAGCTGTTTTTAAGAAGTCTGGTCAGGGCTACAGCAAACAGGAATGGTGGAAGGTGTGCGTTAACCATCTGTTCACTGTTGCAGATTCTTATCTCAAGTTGTTCACCAAATCAATGATTTTTTCAGCAGGAAGCAAATTCAGGTTACGTTCAGTCACTGGGTGGTTCAGAACTTAAAAACACCAGTCACAGGAGACCTGGAAGCTCAGTTAAACAAAACCAAGTGAATCTGACACAACACACTCACTGGCAAAAAACTTCTCTGTTCATGGAAGCTTAAGGTGACCCTACCTTCAAAACTTCTATTCTATTTCCCCAGCATATGTCTGCATCTCAAAGGGTTAAGTGATTTGTGAAATATTTTGACTAAGACAAAGTAACTACCTTATATGCTATTAGCCCCTAGCAGCAGCTACAGAGTAAGTATAGCGGGAGATGAAATCACAGTGACTAATAGCTTTTCTTTGCGGATGTGTCAGGAGTGTTTCCAGCCCTGTATATCTTCCTGCAATCAGATGTGGCATTAAATAGCATTCTGTCCTGAAATGAATCCTGGCCAGCTTGCTTGCTGAGCAGCTTTACCCGCTGAGGTTCCCACTTAGAGTCACAGAGCATCCCAAGTTGGAAGAGACCTATGAGGATCATTGAGTCCAACTCCTAAACTTAACAAAACAGTTGTCATCCTGGCTAGACTGCAGGTCCCTGAGCCTCCCAGCCTTAACCTGCTAAGCCCATAAACTTTCATCACCCTGTGAACAACCTTTTGCCTGATTTATCCCAATAGGAACAGGACACAGGGCGATTTAAGAACACTTAAATCTATCTGCAAGAAGGCCACAAACAGTAGAAACACATCATGCTGAAGAAATGCACCAAGAGGAAGGAACAACTACCCTTACTGCTCGAAAGAAGTGAGACTGACAGTGCATGAGAGGGCAGCTCCATCAGGAGAAGGAACTGGGATGAGCACTTCATTCTCTCACATGAGTCCCACGCTCATGTTAAATTAGGCAAAAAGGGAATAAAAGGGAGAAGAAGCCTGATAGAAAGAATTTATTCCATATCTAAGCAACACTGAATGCTTTGTCTGTAAAACATGGATTGTATGGGAACGCAGGGAGAAAAACAACCCGGAATAAAATACTGCCTTTGTGTGTATCTACGCCAGTTACTGAAGCCCTACACAGTGATCCATGGCCCACAAAGCAATTCCATTAGTTCTGAATCTAGGAGCAATATAACCATACCTGTGAAGCATCAAGCTCACACTAGAAGACCCCTCTCTGCCCTCACAAAATGAGAATATTTTGTCAGACATTCGACAGTCATGATGCATGCCTCAGTTTTACTACCCAAAAGAATGGTCTTCAAACAAAAGGCAGGAAAAGAGTTCATTTACATCTCAGTGTGTAATCTGGAATTGACGGGCTCTTCTACATTGATAAGAAACACTACGGAGGAAATTATTTTGGCTAAGGTAATAAGAAACTTCAGTCCCTGAAGGGTAACTGGTAACAACGAATGGGTGACTGGTAAATGCTACTTTTTGTAGGGGAAAAAAAATATATATATACATTACTATTCTGTCTCACTCTCACTCTGTCTTGATTGACAATCTTTTCATAAAGGCTCTGATTCTCATTTCTGATCAGCAAAGACCTTCTCATCTATTTCACACATGAAAGAAGCGCTGTTCCAGTGATGAACTGATGGGGTTGAGGTACCTGAATACCTGAGAAGAGCCCTCAGATAAGCCCTCACTTAGCAAAATGCAGATACTCACATGAGTGAGCATAGAGATAGTTTGGGTTTTTCAGGCAGTTGCCCTCACTCTCTCTATTTTTCCAGGTCTGAGAAAGCAAGAGACACTTCTGGTTTGACCAAGCTTTACTTAGCTGTTTTTTGAACATTACTGAAAGAAACTGATGAATGAAGACAACGATTGACTCCTTTATCAGTGAATGACGGGCATGTTTTTGGTTACTGCAGTAGTACTATCCACTTATGCTTACTCTTTACTTGCACTTTTCCTCAATGACCAGTTTTTGGCCACCACCAGAGACAGAGCAGACGTTTGGTCTATGCAGTGCAGCTGCTCTTTTGTTCAATTTTAAAAACAGAACTAGCAAACAAATTCTGCATAAATTTCTCTTTCATTTGTTGTCTGTGAGAGCAAGTGCATAACATTCATCACATTTTTAGCTATGTAAGTATTTTTTTCTGAAGAGAGGAATTTAACACATTCTCCAATACTGTGTAGATACAGTGCTGACTCCACTATGAAAACTGCAATATCAGAGCCACCATTGAGAGAACAGTAACAACTTTTCTCACCCTACCATCAAAATAGCACCGCTTTTATACTGCTGCAGATTTGAATGCAGCTGGAAAATGAAAAATAATATTGTTTTGATCGGCATAAAACTCAGTTGTCAGCCAGCTGCACATGAAAATGAGAAACATGAGCAAAAACGAGCATTTACTTGAATGAGATCTTCAGCTCCCACACAAGAATGCAGCTCGAAGTGGTGCTGAGATACACTTCTCCCAGGGCAGCCTTGCCCAGAGCCTTTCTAGCAAAAGGCAGCACTTCTAAAATCAGGCATGTTATCATGAAGTTTCCATGCTCACTATTTTTAAAGAAAAGAATGTGTAACTCTTTACCAGCAGAATTTAATCAATAATTCATTAGACTGGCTGTAACACAAACAATCCACTGCTGCTTTTGGGCGACTGCACACACGATAAGGAAGACGCCAGCAGTTACTTTAAACCAGTGCAAGGTGTGATGTTAGCATCTATGTATATAGAAAAGCTAACAGGTAATTCAGTTAGCAAACAGAATTTAATCCTTTTAAACTAAGAATATTTTCAAACTAAGAATCCTTTTAAAAAAAAATCCTTTTTAAAACAAAGTGGCAGAAGTCTTTTTCTTAAAGCTGTAAGCAAGATTCCACCAGCAATTGCTATTATTTGGTCTTTTAGCTATTTATTTCACATTTTTATCCTATGGTTTGATGCACCTGTAAATTCTAATTGATTACACAGTTCAACTTTGGATATTAAGCACTGATTTACCAAAAACTACTACAACATTCAATTTAAGTATTTTACATGCTTGCCACATCTACTTTTTCTTTGATTTTTAGTATTTTTTTTTAATATTCTGCAAAACACTTTCTAACATATCCGCTGCATAGCTTAATCTTACAGTGCAGCCAGGATTTTCCATTCACACAGCCATATTCCATGCCTAATGCTAGGTTGCCATCTGTTGACCAACTTAGCAGCTGTATTGTAAAGATATAACACAAGGCACTTGAGAACATAAACAAATTGCAAAAGACCTTTCAAGTTTGAATCCCGGTTTTGTACTTCTTTCTCTCTACCTGGGAAAGTTATTTTAAAAGGTTACCATTTCTCCTTAACTTAATTTGCAGAGAAAAAAAAAAGGATCAAGTTTTTCCATACACAGAGGCAGTACTGGAGAACATCTTCAAAGGCTGCTTAAGGAGACTGTCTGAAGGCTACAATCAATAGGACATACTTTGGGAACCAAACTGTATAAGAAGCACACTGCATGGATGGAATGATCAGTATTAGGTGCTATAATGTTATCTTTTTCACTTTCAAAAGGTGTCCAAGGGAATCAAGAAAATATTGCCAGGGAAATGAAAATTTAAATTGGTCAATATATATATATCATTCTTCCTTTTTTTTTTTTTTTTTCCCCTTTTTCAATTTCTTTCATTTAAAAAGAAGTACAGATGAAAAAAACAACATCTCTGTATAAGACAGTATATTAGCTGGGTTTACAAGGGTGCAAGAGACACTTTTAGCAGGATGCACAGTATCACCTCAGGGAGGAAACTCTTCATACCTACTTCACTTAGCATGTAAAAGGCTTTAGTTTTCTCCAAGTGACTGCATGTATGAAACAGAGCGTCTAGAACATTTCTTTTGCCTCAAAGGAGATTTGTAGGGAGTACCTTCAAAAACAGTGGAAAGGCCTTCAAGAATTCTGATCATCAGCATCACGAATAGAAGACAATTGTTTTCTCTGAAGTCATTAGAAAAACAAAGCTTTCCAAAGGAATGATACATGAAAAGGACTTTCCAAAAAACATGAAACAACTGTGACATATTTCTTAATAGAAATATAATATTAAATGATAATGTACAAAATAAACAAACAATAACATACTTTAATAGAAATACAATCAAAATAGAGATCAGCTCTATTAACAGTACTTTATATAGCAATATATAAACTTTCTATAGCAATACATGAACACAGCACAGTCTAAACACTGCATTATGGTGCTGAGCTCAAGAACTTACATGCATATAAGGATTTCATGCAGTCTCTGTTTAGCGACTCACCTTTGAATCATCCAGTTCCAGTTTTTTCAGAGACTTCCTGACATAATCTAAGAAGGAGGATGATTTGGAGAAAATTTTTCCTACATGTCGATCACTGCAAATATAATGATGAGATGCATGCATTTCGCTAACAGAAACTTACAGATTTTAAAAATCATTTTTATCTGAATTTCCATTTATTGAGGGCAAATAAATCTGTTGGACAGCCCCTTGGGTCAAGTTAGTGACAATTTTTCTTTTCTCCTTTTGACTTAAAACAACTAGCTAATACTGGAAGAAGTTTCTAAGCACAACTGTACAGCTGTACTACAGCTGGAGTATGGTTACTATTTTACCAAAAAATGAGAGGGGTGAAGGTTTCTTTTTAATTTTTCCCGTGATGGTTTTATTTCTTCATATGAGTGACAAAATTCTTATTTCTATCAAATGATATTACCTTCTGTGCTCCTGTAACACTGTCATTATTTACTGCAATGCTGCTGTAATTTATTGTGTACCACCAGACTGAGCAAATGGCAGGTCATAGCAAAATTTCACTGTAACCTTGTGTTCTTATCCTCAAAACTGTAGCTTAGTTAAGTGATACCAGAACTTCCACTGTTGACGACAGTGGCTCACTTTTGAAGCCGGCTAAAATTGCAGACAGTTTAAGAAAACGTTAAAATAACGTACAAAAACACAAAGACCACTCAGAAACATTGACAGGTCTCATCCATTCATTTTCTCTGCTTTGTTTAAAATATCTTGGAGAAATTACATAAAACTTTATTAATCTGAACTCACTTTCTTGACAATTTCCCCACATAGCACTACCCTAATCGAGTTTTGCAGCTTAGGAGTTACATTTTCAGCTATAACAGCTGCTCCTGAGCATTTCTTAAGGAGGAAGTATGCTAAGTAGAAATAATAACAAATAGATTAAAAAAATAATTTAATTTGTAAATATTTTAAACTTTTCTCCCTCTTTATTCTTAGTAAAAACTCTCCTTATTTAAGGATCAGAATTAACATCTACCAAGGTCAATATAATGACTTTACCCAGTGGCATTTCTAATGTTTTTTGGGTGGCAGAGATCCCCATTCATTGAGAACCAATGGCCACATTTATTTTTAAGAAATTCTCTAGTCATATTCAATACTGAGGTGCATTTAAACATTTGGGCTGATGCAGCCTGAAAATCAGTTAATGATTATGCTGCTATGACAGGCCTCTGCCCTCCTAATTAGATGCTAGAGGGGGAAAGATATCACACTGGGTCTGGCTGAGATAGGTTAACTTTGTTCAGAGCAGCCCATATGGCGCTGTGTTTTGCATTTGTGACTAAAACGGTGCTGATAACACATGGATATTTCAGCTGGTGTCAAACTGCTCTGCCTTGCAGCAAGGAGGATTGGGTTGGGCAAGAGGCCAAGGGTGAACCCAGCCAGGACAGCTGACTTAAACCTACCACAGGGATATGCCATACTGTATACCATGACGTACAGCAATAAAGCTGGAGGGTGGTGTTCTCATGGTAGCTGATGCTTGTAGACTGCCTGGGCAGCAGTCTGCTGGTGAACCTTTGCTTCATCTGTTTTTGTGTTTAGAGTTGCTTTTAATTTTTTCCACCTTTCCCTTTCATTAACTTATCAAACAGTCCTTATCTTGATGAGTTTTTCTCATCCTGCTGTGAGGGCAGTGAATGAGCAGCTAGAGAGTGCTTAGTTGCTGGCAAGAGTCAGCATAGATATACAATATATTTAATAGATTCATGTTGTATACAAGTAGTTTAAAAAAGAACAGATTAATAATAGTTCATAGTCTTAACAGTTCATTCTCTCAATTGCTTTAATGTGCTAAATGTTTTTCTGGAACTGGACATCTTAAAAAATGCAGAACAATCACAGTAGGTTTCAGAACAATAACGAAAATATCAGCTTTTCCACTGAAACTGGTGACAACTCACATTAGTCAGCTTGCAAGCAGGTAGGCTTCCCCTGCTTTTATTTCAGAAGTATAATCCTAAATTACTTCCTCCAAATTATGCTTCCTTTTACAAATGAAGTATATTGTCATCCCACACACTTTTTTTTCACACTTTATCAACAATGGTTTTACATGCTAGCTTTTAGTTAATTTTAAAATAAACAAGTATTTCTTCTTTCAAAAGACTTTCTGAAGTGCTAGCTGTCTGGCTTCCCACTTTCCAAAAGACTTGGGGGTATCGGCATTAGCATTTATTTTAGATTATAAGTATATTCCCCAAGTGACTTTTGGGGTTTGCTCACCTCCCACAGCATGGTTTGTGCTGTGGAACGGGATCAGAGCTTCAAAATTAAATTAAATTGGAAGGTGTGCTTCTGGATGTGCACCAAATGCTAATGAGCACACACCCCACATAATAAAAGTTAATCCAGACTGCAACTCCAGAAAAGTGTTTAGTGAAGATGTCAAGATCATAGCACTAACTTGCCAAATCCCATCATCTATAGGCATAGAACTTGCTGATGTAGACACAGGCAGCCATCAGCACTTGCTGATGTAGCCCTTCACAGACAGCCATGTTAGCCATTGGTCATTTTTCTGAGGACAAATGGAAATGTCTTTTTGTCTTCTGCAGTATTAAAGCTGCCAAGTCTTCTGAAATACAGGATAGCCTAAGACTGTCAACTTTTAGATGTTTGCTATTGTTTTGCTGTTGAAGATAGATTTTAATAATGAATCTGGTACCAAGGAGGACCTATTTCAGCTATGAGTAAAGGAAGGGCAATACATCTGTGATGTGGACATAGAAGCAAATGTGATGTGCATAAGGAACAAACGTATCCTTCATTTTAATGCCAATATGTATCTTCAGTCTGAGACTGATTCTTCAAACCTGCTGCTTAAGAAATACAGAAAGGGATCACAGAAAATCAGATGTTTTGTATTCTCTGAGTTCAGAGCTTCCTACCTTTTGGTGACACCATAAATTTCTTCTATAATAACCTGAAGAACAGCTCGATAAAACAACGACTCTGTAGGCAGCTGGAAAAAAAAATTCAGCAAAAACGATTTAAAATTGGAATTGAAATTTAGATCATAGTAAAAAAAAAAAACAAAACAAAAATAGTATTGGCTTCTACTTATTTGTTTACATTCCTTGCAATCAGTCATAACAACTGGACATTTTACTAATGTTCCTGAATCCAGTTTAATTTACGTTGCCAGATTCTAACACAACTTGAATGTGAAAAAAAAAGAAAAAAAAAGAGAAACCCAAAGCCTGAAGTAGAAGATCAAAGACTGGCAGAGAAAAAAAGAACAGAAAAAATGTAGTGATCATGACCCAAATTCTACTCTGCAAAATAAATCTAACAATTTACCTAAATTGTTCTAAAGACAAATAAATAATTTCCTAGCTTAATCATCATGTCCTGTAGTCTCAACCATGCAGAAAGCACTGTGCTCATAAAAACAGAATACGCTTAAAAGTTCACATTTTTGAGTATAAAAGATCTGTTTCCATAAAAATAGTTAATAGTTGTCAGTCTAAAATTCGTGGCAAAGCTAACCCACAATGAAAGACTACAGGGAACAGGAGGATTACACACAGAGAGAAGAGTTCTCAGTCTTTTTAAATATTTGCACAGTAGGTGTCTGCCATCCAAACAGGATAACTTGCACAGCAGTAATTCAAAGTATTCATGGATTAAAAAAAAATACAGAGATTAAAAATGAGAATGATGATGTTTCTTACAGATACAAGCTTTTGTCATAACAATTTCTATTTTTACATTCGTTGATATAACACTGGGATGGAATGATCCAAACCAGGGATATCAGAAGGGCATTTGGACTTAATTTATATACTTGCTGAAAGATAGTGCAAGAAGTTAGGAAGAGTAGCTTAAATTTTAAGCCGTGCCTTTTTTTCAGACTCTTAATTATCAAGAGAAAACAGACTCACTAGGTACAACCGCAGCAATAAAAATGCAATTTCATGATGACACATGCTATCTATCAGGATTTGATGTACTGTATGCTAGTGTTTTAGATTCCAGAAATTCAAAAGTTCAATAAAAGGTCGCGGATTAAGAGCATTTAAAGGGGAAAAACACATTTTATCTTAGAACGGTTAAAATAAACAGTATGACTTACCATTTGGCCAACTGCAACTCGCTCCAAAGCCTTTAAGAGTGAAGGAATTAAATTGCTGATATGTTTATTCTTTATCAGAACATTTTATAAACACATTGTATAAAAGTCAGAGGATCTGACATTTTAAAAGATTAATGATGTGACACAACATGAGCTTGCACACTTTAAAGTGTTAATACCGTTACAGAACCATAAACAGCTCACTCCTGTTATTTTGGTTTATTTATAAGAGAAGCAATGATAACCAACTGTATAGATGTGAGCAAAATTTCTTTCTTTTTCTTAGGTTTATAAAAGAATTTCTGAGAATTCTTTCCGTATTTTTTCTCTCTTTGTATTGTTGTATACAATTATTGTATAATTATTTATTTACAATATAATATTTTAAATGCAATATTAGATATTTGTTTTATATCTTCTATTCTTGCAGAAATGCAAGCAATTCAGTTTCCAATCAATTATTTCAAAGTAAAGATTGGTTCAGTGGCCAATGCCTTTAAATACTTTTAGATTCTAGTATAATGAGTGTAAATAAATTAAAAAATTCAGAGGGACTGAACTTAAAAGGGTAATGTATGAACTTTCACAACAGATTCCTCAGATCACAAATCCTGATGCTAGTATGAGAGTACTTGATTTTTATGATCCATACTGATCAAGAATGGCAAATAATCACAAGCATGGTATGTTTTCCTCCAGAAGTAAAGATCATAGTAGAAATGAAGGAAAAACTTCAATCAGTTGCCTGACACTAAAATAAATTAGATAAAAAATCAAAAACGTCTCACCACTCAAGGATCATTGTCCCCAAATTCCACCACAGCAGATAGAACTGCTTTTCACTGAATCACCCACTTTTTCTTCTCCTAATTTGAGAACTGATCTTGTATTTCAGATTGTGCTTCAACTACAATCCAAGTAGTTGTACAAGTGAAAAGTGTATACCTGCCTCACTGCAGAAGATGGATGTGTCTGGAAAAGTGTGAATCTGAGTTATCTCATCCAGACCTTTGTCCCTTGGCCCTTTAACCAATTTGAACAATATGTAATGATGAACATTATATTGAGTATCTTATCATTGTTCAGCAGATTCAGTTTCTCCAACCTAGCCATTGCCCCTGGGAAACTGGGTGCCTAGCTGCATGTCACCATCTCCTTTCTACCTACTAGAGGGCAAGGAGTGTCCCAGTCATGAAAAATGCAAGCAGGGGATTTCAAATGTACTAACTGTAGAAGCATCTAGTGCCATGGGAGAACTCCTTGCCTTTGTGAAGTTTTAAACAAAAGAAATTTTTAACTGCCTAATTTCTGTGAATTCTATGAACTCTAAAACAGATAGATTTCACATGTTCAGTACTATCTCTTCGGAGTCATTTGCTTACAAAATTTATCTTCCTACCATTGTTGAAAGACAGCCCAGACTTTCCCTTTCTAAAAGAAAAAGAATGGGAAAGAAAGCAAGTAATGGGTCAGCCTAGGAAGTAATGGTATTGCATTACACTAACAATAAAAAGAAAACAGGCAATCTCTTTTAGAAAGTATTTCTATGATAAAGGTTTTACAACATCATGGCTAAAAGAAACAGATTTTTTCTTGTACCTTGCCAAGGGTAACACATTTAAGCCTAATGAAATACTAACTGTCCTCCCTTGCTTTCATCTGACAGTATTAAATTATCATGTTAGCTTGCATTTATATATCCTTGATATGTTAACTTGTACTGCCTCTTCAGTCCATACTATTCTCTCAAACAGAGGTAAAGAGGTAGCAGCAAAGGCTTACCAGAACCTATGACTCATCTTGATACAAAAAATTAAAAACTAATAAAGAGTATTAGTCTTCTAACTGAAACAGTGGTCAAAATTTTTGATACGTATCTGTTCTTTCAAATTGGACAACAGTTCATCATTCTGTCTCACTGAGGTTAGGTCTTTGCAACTCCTGGTGCAATGTTAAAAAGATGTTTCCAGTCTGTTAAACCGCACGGATTTTAGAGCTCTTCTCACTTTTGGAAGAGGCAAGTTTGTTTAGGTTTCAAACAGTCAGAATATTCAATATTATGAATCATGAAGGCGTTGGGGGAGTTACTGATTGCAATCCTTCTACAATTACCTTGTTCCACTCTAAGTCCTTGGCCAGGAACTATTACCCTAAGGGGTTACCTTGTTTAGGTTTTACCAAAGGTTTGGCCTTTCTGTCCATTCTTAAAATATGTTTCTGTCAATACTCATTTTTTCATTCCTTCAGCAAGTATAATATATATAACACTGGAAGGTCAGTACTATTTTTTTAGATACAATTCATCATGCTTACAACATTAATGACGTTACTCTGCAAAGTCTTGGATTAAAGTCATGGCTCTTGAATTAGAAGCCAAAAACAATGAATCCTATAACATCTGGACAGAGTTCTCAGTAGGAAAAAGAAAAACAGGGGAATCATACCAAGCACGCTGACATTCTAGCATTGCGACCGCAGCACCAGCCCTCGTCCTTCAAGTACTGACACATGGGAAATCCCCACACTTCCTCTGTGCAATCTGCAAGATGGGGAAAAAAAACAGACACAGCTTTCATGAACTCTTCACTTTACCTTACAGTGTAAACAACATATTGAGCAAGATGAACAGTTAATGGATGGTAGCAGAAACACTTAACTGTTCCAGTCCAGTACCAAGAAACATTAGTATTATAATTATGGATTTTCCTCATAACAGATGTTTTTGGCTGATATTGAATTTCTGGTAATTTCAAAACTTTTTTTTTTTTTTTTTTTTTAAACTAGGTCATTTTTATAAAAATCAACTGAGAAAAAAGTTCTAAGGGACACAGTAGGATTTGCAAATACCTCTGACACATCCTGCCATGCCATGAGTTATAAGAAGTAAGGCAGGCAGTCATTCAGTATAGCAGGACTTCACTATTTCTTCCACTGGGTTCCTCTTCTACCATAAACATCTAAAATCACAAAGAATGAGTACGTGTTTATTTCAATTCTGAAGCTCTGTGCTTTGCTGAGAGACATAATGTTTGCTCTCCAGAAATGAGCAGCTGCAAAGGCTCATGCTGTTTCTTCAAAACACAGAGAAGCATTTGCATCACAAACTGTGTTCAGTTTGTTTCAGTATCATTAGTATTTTGAATAACAGCAGAAGTCTTCGTGTTTAACACTAATGAAAATGTGGGAAAACTAAACAAGCAGTTTAGACTATTATTAGCTAAGTGTTCATAATATCTAGGTGTAAATGTAGATGAAATCCACAACGTTTAGAATTTTTATTGGTGTATTTGTCAGCTGATTTTTTAGTGCATTGAATAAGAATAACCTTATTGCTTACTTACCTACTTACCTTAAAAAAAAAAAAAAAGCCAACAAAACAAACCAAAAGAATTCTACAGCAAATTGGCTAAGATCCTGGCTTTTTAGCATAGAGAGATGACTCGGGCACATTTAAAGACAAATCAATTTAATGGGGTTAAAAAAAGGACAGCAGAAATGCGACTCTTCAAATTTACCAGAAGTCTGGGTATACAAACACATAAGCAGAATTCATTTCGTGAAACATAGGCAAAGAAGGGTAAGAGGAAACTATAAAGGACACAACTCTCTTCCACCTCTTCAGTTCTTCTAGTGCTAGTCTCCAATGACCAATGATCTCTAGAGAGTAACAGTGAGCAAGTAATCTTCTGCAGGCAACCTCACGTTTTGCTCTCCTTTTAGTCTCAAAGGCTAAAAGCTTAATATGGAACGTATACTCGTTTAAGGACCATAACTGAAGAACTGAACATTAATGTGGGATAATTAACAGAAGAAGGAAAGTTCCTGTAGACCTGAAGATGAAATTAAACAAAACAGATTGCAGCTTGTTCCAAACTAGGACTATATAAATATTTGTAAATGCTTCATGACAAGACATCAAACGCCATTTAACTTTAGGTCTAATTACTGAGTGCATGGAATAAAGCTCCTACAACAGGGATAGTAATAAGATCTTATTAAATACATATTTGGAAAGCAAAAAATGACTCCCATGGTTCCTATTTTAAGGGTCACATTAATAAGCTTTTCTAACACGTATGTTAGAATATTTTAAAGTAAAAATGTGCAAACTGAGTTAGAAAGATAAAATCAATCAATCTTCTTAAGTTATCCCTTATAACCTAAACCCTCTCCTCTAGGCAAAATAATCATCCATGCAATTAAAATTGCTAACCACTGAGCTACAATCACAATCTTTGTACTCTATACTCATGTGTAATGCTGAAGAATTTCTGACATCTTTGAAAAGACGGTGATACAAAACATGATCTTCTTTATCAAAACTTTCTCTTTAGCTGGAGAAAGAGAGGTAAACCAACGCAGTGAGTTAGGTTTTTTGGTCTACTTACAAAGTTGACCATATATCTACAATATTACCTTGAGTTCTTTTTGTTTTTCCATATCCAGTGCACTCTCAAGTTTATTGCTGATTAAAAAAAAAATAGTTGAAAGATAAATACATTCCTATGAAGTGTATATGTTTATCAGCTTGACTTCACAGACCTGAAAATTCTTTTAATGCCTTTAACTACTTTTTACATGCTTGATACTACATAGCTCATTATTTATTGTCTTGTGCTTCTATCTGACAATGCAAAATTGCACTAAACTCTATACAACTCTACAAAATATTCAAACATTTCAAATATGGGTATTCTGTGGAAGACTTCACAGCAAACACTGCAAGCGATCAACAGTGCATGAAGAAAATAATAAATCATGCATAATGTAAAGAAGCCAGCTGAACAGAACAGAATTCTGTTTCCATGAAAGGTTAACAAAATGGGAATTCTATGCAACTATTTGATGAGATGAACAGATAGCTATAACATCTCTTCTTCACAGGTTAGGGGGATGATGTGCTAGAAAGGAACTCTGAGCAGGACTCCTGCTGGACAGTAGGTTGGCTATGACCCAGCAGTGTGCCCGTGACCAAGAAGGGTGCATTAAAAAGAGCATGGTCAACAGGTCAAGGGAGGTCCTTCCCTTCTACCCTGCCCAAGTGAGGCCACATCTGGAGTACTGTGTTCAGTTCTGAGCTCCTCAATTCAAACAAACAGGGATCTTTTAGAAAGAGTGATTCAAGCACTGGAATAGGCTGCCCAAAGAGGCTGTGGAGTCTCTCTCTTCAGAGATACTCAAGACCCTTCTGGATGCCTTCCTGTGCAACCTGCTGTAAGGCAACTGCTTTAGCAGGGGGTTGAACTTGATGATTCTAGAGGTCCCTTCCAATCCCTGCAGTTCTGTGAATCTGTTATTCTGTGAAATTCACAAATAAGAATTTTAATAAGAACTTTCCAAATGATTGCTTTTTTGCCATTATAGATTTTTCATGTCTTTTGAAAAACAAAGAAATTTTATGGATCCTAAGTGGATAGATCTTAATCAGAGTATCCTTTGAAGCATTTGCATAACTTATGCAATGCCTCCATGGATTTACTAACTCTTCTTGTAACCACAGCGATGTTTCACAACTAACCCTTGTGCATCTGATTTATCACATTAGTCTAACAGGCAGAAATAAGATAGGTCTTGAAAAGAATATGCTATGTGGAGAAGTTGTCTTGAGTTTGGTTTCCTATATACTTTAAATCCTATGGAGGAGATCATCAAACACTTTGAGAAACATGTGCAAACATACCAGACACAACTGCAAATTATTTATGGACTTTTTCACAGAATCACAGAATCACACAACACTGTCTAGCAAAGGAAAATACAAAGGCCCAGGTAAAACATTTTAAGCTGGAATAAATGCAAAGCCTCATATTTTATCATCAACTGAGTAGGACTAAATTTTCTACAAAGTATGTCAGATTACCATTTTCCACTTCTGGGAACTCAATGCTACAATGCTGTCAGAATGATCTTATTTCTTAACTCATTCCTTGAAATCACATGCTATTTTCTGTCCTCCAATTATTTAGACATTTTTCTAAGTCCTTCAGTAAAATGCTGTCACGCTTTGTACAGATTTCAGCCTCCTTCCATCTAGAATAACTTTTTGAATACTGTAATAGTAATGGCAGAAACCATTTGGAGCACTTCTACTATTCTGAGGGTTTTTTTTCCCCTCTGGTTATTTAAGTTCCATGTGAAAAAGAGGACAATATGTACAGATATCTGGGATACTGAAATTTTATTTCAGGTAGTAAAAAATTAGAAATCATAGCAAATGTGTGTATATATGCATACATACATTTAAAGAATTAGATCAACTACAACTTCCTTCATCATGATTAACTTCTTTCTGGATGCAGAAAAAAGTCAGGTAAGTTTCATTGTTCTCATTTTGTATTCACGGACACACTCTTAGTTGCTGAACAGTGTTTAAAAGAAATTAATTAAAGGGTTTTCTAACAAAATAGTTAAGTGTAGTTTGGGAACAGGATTTCCAAATATAGAATACTGAATGTTATTTATTAATATTTCTTTTTCTGATAGATAAAAAATGTACTAATGTACATTTAGTGTACATACTAGTGTACAGTTAGTAGAAATATCAGACCTTACATAGATCTTAACTCTGAGCAAGATTCTGTTATTTCTAGCATGTTAACATTTAAAATTTAAATATCACATCTATCTATAATTAATGAGAAAAAATAAATAAACCAGGACTTTGTTTCACTTTTGTGGCATTGTATACATTGATCATAACAGCTGTTTTGAAACTCTTCATCTGTTCTTTATGAAAGCAATACAAATAAATTAGGATAAGTGGCAAAGCACTATAAAATATAAGATTCTGATTTTTTTGAAATGTATTTAATTTTTCTATTCTCAGGTTTTAAGATTTTCTAGTGTATACATGACTACAACAATGAGAATTACTTTCCAGTAATGAGTTCATCAGATTGCAAATAGTATGTGACAAAGCGAAGGCAAAAATATGTTTTTAGCGTAAAGGCTGAATTTCCAACTTTAGTCACTATCATGTCTTGCTTAAGAAACTCTATTCTCCTTGGGAAAAAAAAAAAAAAAAAAAGCTTATTTCATTCCTAAACTTTATCTTAGGCAATTTATTACTGAAATGCAGTGAAACACCAGTTTCTTAAAGCGTTTCAGCATGAGAACATAACTTCAGGAGAATGAGAACTTGTTCTATTTACTTAGTACTGTCAAGCTGATTGTACGCCCACAGCCAGTTCTGTACTAAACCACTCACACTGCAGTTTTTAGTGGCAAGTATCTTATACTTACCTTACAAATCACCATTAAGACTGAACATGCTTTCTGTATTGAACTTCACCTATGATTTCTTTGGCACTTACTTTAATACAGAAAGGCTTTAAAGCTTTAAAACATTCACATTTAATATTTGAATTTGGAATGTATTTTAGGATGGTGTATTATTACCAGTACCTTATAATACCACTCGGTGAATTATCACTGCATTACCTTGTCAGACTTGAATGTTTAAATACATTTTTGTCTGTTACCACTTAAAAACTGTGTTGGATACAAACACTTCCAACTCCATTTATTTATGAAGTGTGA